TTTAAGTGTCTAGGTATCGCATGCATATGTCATGACTGGTAGTAACTGTTGGCACTATTTAAATGCACATACAACGGCATATCACGTTGTATTTGCATTTAAATAATAAATATGCGTTTATCTCTTTCTTCATAATTTAACAAAGATATGATGCAGTCAAAACAGTGAAATGATAAATCTCACTTTTGTTAATGCGTCTGTTGAGATATTTATGAAAGTGGAGTGTTTACTGAACAAATACCTTTGCCATAATATAGTACATTTTAACGGTTCAATTTTTAATGCACCTGCATTCGCTCGTTTTCAGAAATTTCCAATCTGCATTCGTGTCATAAGTAATTTCCGTGCTTATGAATATTTTGAGAGGAGCTGTTTTGCAGATTTTATTTCATTTCTCATTTTACAAGTTTCGGCTTTTGAACTTTGGAATATTGAAACTTTCAACTTTCTAGAGCTTGAAGTTTATTAATATGATACTAATAGTTCTGTAGTTTACATGTCATTTTTTATTGTGCTTAATGGTTATCAGCGGCTGCTGCTTGAATTTCGATGTACAGGGTGTGCCATTTTCAGGGTGTGTTTTACAGGGCTTCTCGCTCAGAAGTAGAGGTACAAAGATGCGGTTTTCACATTACTGTGCTACTTTTTATGAAACTAAAGATTTGTGCTATCCTTCTTGTTTTTAAATACAGGGCGAATGTTGCATTTTTTGACCCCCTTCGTATCTCGGTTAATTTTTAACTTATCGAAAAGATGAAAACCGAGTCCCATATAGTTTTTCACGTCGAATACAGTGGCGTAACTAGATTTTTGCTGGGAGTTGTCCTTTTTGCAATCTAACCCAAACTAAAAATGTATGGTAACTGCTGCTGAGTTGTATGAGTTGTATTTACACGTTTACACACGTTTTATTTAGACGAAAATTAAAGGTTAGAATGATACAGTTTCGGCAGAACTGGAACCTGGATGTAGGTTCATGAAGCCCATGGGTCCATGAAGCTTGATGTAACTCCGGACCCGACTCTTTTAAAATACCGGATCTAACTATCTCTAATTACAACTGGATTCTGTGTTTTTTTATTTATTTATTTAAATTGCATGTTAACATCACTTTTTCACATTTAGATGACCATATTTTTTTTAGGTCTGGTTATAACAAATGCTTCAGTACAGTTAGAACTAAGCTGTATTTACTTTAACATAAAAGGATGAAGTTAAAAAACATTTAACTACATGCGACTATACAAACCTGTAGTGCATTCAAGAAAATGTCTAATACGGATAAATAGAGTATAGCATAAGTGTATCTTTACGGAAAACTTGCACCAGTACGCGTACTTAAAATGTTTTAATATTTTACCGTAGCCTAAGCTCCATTGAACCGCTCGGGGCTTTTAACCTGCTTGTCAATTTAACTTAGTTGTGAGAAAGAAACGACGGACAAGGTTTGAAATATAAATGAATAGAAAGAAACGATCGAAATTATGCCAGTATATATTATAATGTATAGTTAGTTGTAGCTAGTATTGTTGTTAGTACTAAAACTTTTTTAATGGTTTAAACTAATATTTTCTAATTACTCTTTTTTAGTTTGCATTTAACACTCCTCTAGTATATTCAGGAGCGAAGAGTTAATTTCGTTACTTAGCTTTCACATCCTTATAAGAACCTGATAGTTTACTTTAACTGTATTTAGTTCAGTCGCCTTATTGACCTTTGATTTAAATGGATAGATACTTTTGACATTCTATATAAGGGAAATACTACAAATTTTACTATTATCTCAGTATGATAGATTATTTTCGTCCTTTTAATAAATGGATGTCTTACTACTAATTACTATTTAATATCTACCTGTTTAGTATTTATACAGGGTGTTTCAAAAAACATGTGCCGTCTCTCATATCAACACAGGTCAGATGCTTTGTTTCGTAGCTACAGGGTGTTAAAGTTTTAATAATTTTTCGATTTATTATAATTTTTTTCCAATTAATTTTAGTGATTTGAATGAAATTTTGAGGGTAAAAACTACTATCAGTGCTGCATATTTTAATGCTAAAAAAGTGTCGATAAATTCATTAAGTCCCTGGTGAATATGGCGACACTTTTTAGCCTTAAAATATGTCGCATTTATAGTAACTTTTACCCTCAAAATTTCATTCGAAACGCTAAAAGTACTTCGAAAAAAATTATAATAAAGCGAAAAAATATTAAGAATTTAACACCCTGTAGCTAGGAAATAAGGCAGAACCGGACCTATGTTGATATGAAAAATAAAACTTATTTTAACGTGAGGAATCTCCCCACGAGAGATGGCACATGTTTGAAACACCCTGTAGGCGAATTGTCAGAAACTGCATTTTAGCAAATATATTATCTCTCAAAAGATGCTAGTACTAACATAGTAGTATCTTTTTTATACACTTTATATTTTTTATTGCGTTTTTAATATACTTTTTGGTATACACTGTTCATTTACTGCCGCAAAAGGTTCGCAAAAGATTGAATAAAATGAAAAGTTCCTATCAAAAACGAAAAAAGTTAGCATCTACTAAGTAAGTACCTAAAATACCTTTTCTGCTCCTTTTGCCATCTATTGAACTTGGTCCTTCTTTCGCTAAACAGATTTTGCATTTAATATACTTTAATTGACTTTATCTTTCCCAAAATTCACGATAAACCTTGCTCGCAGTATGCATAAATTACTTTATACAAAACAACAAGAGCTAAAAATACTGGCATGTCCTAACCAAGGCTCTTAAACTTATTAAAACACTTGTCTCATCTATTCGTACTGTAATGCAATTGCACGTAATTGAAGCTTTCACACGACATCACGATCGGGGAAACTTCAACGGAGCGAAATTCGAAACTTTCGACCCAACTTCTCCCTTTCTAAACTACTCTCAACGGTAATTTGTTGATTTTTGTTCCGCTTCGAAAGTTTTAAGTAACAATCCACGTCGAAATTAAAAATTGTTTATCGCGAGAAGGAATTTGCTGGTGCAGTTGTAAAATTAAATTCTATCCGATTTAATTAAGTTAAACAGAAAACAGAAATTAATCTTGAACTTTCAAAAAAGATTCAGTTACCCAGGAGACCAACAAAATAATAATAAAAATATGTAATGATGATAATTATACGAAATCCAAAACCCCAAACCAAAGGCACAATACACAATGCAGAGTCCGGCAATAGTGTGTCGGGCATCTGTAGCTCCTACAATAAAAAACTTGATAAAGTATGTTCTAGGATGTATTGATTAATGGAATCTGCTGTAAATCGTCTATACTGCTGTAAATCGTAATCGTAAATCATACAGGGTGTTCAAAATTCGACGCCAAACTTTCTAAAATATAAAATAATTTTTCTTTGTTTTTTTTTTAAATGGAACAACCCTCTATAAAATGTTTTTATTAGACGGAGATTTAAAAAAGAACAATTTTTGTATAAGTATTTCAAAATTTTTAATGGTTTCGCAGATACACGTATTATTTCATATGGCTTTTTCAACGGTAAAATACCAGAGAAAAATTATTGGGTGGCTTTGATAAAAATTTACTATGGAAAATGCCATATGAAATATAAAACCGCGAATATCTCCGAAACCGTTAAAAATTTTGAAATACTCTAAATACAAAAAATGTTCATTTTTTTAAAACATTTCATTTAAAAAAAAGAAAGAAGAAATATTTCATATTTTAGAAAGTTTGGCGTAGAATTTTGAACATCCTGTATGATGTAATAGTCGATGTCCATTTCCAAGCCAACTGGATGCCGTCTTTTTCCATTAATCGGTATAATACGGTGAGGAACATGCATTGTAATTTATTTTGATGATTGTTTATTTTAATGTAAACTGATGACACGCATTGTATGTAGAGTAATAAGGGTTTCTCGGTAACTCACTTTCGTCGAATATTTCTGCGTAGTATTCTTAACTATTTTAATTTTATATATTTTTTTGTAATTCTATTTATAATGGGAGGTTGTTCTACTTTCCAGAAACTATTATACATACAAGATAAAACAAATATATGTTTTTTAGTATACATTTGCTTGGCTATGATTCAAAACTAAAGCGTTTTATAACAAGGAAATTTAAAGAAAATTTGAACAGCGTTGTAACAGTATTTATAGTTAAGCGAGTATAGGTTAACTGAGGGGGGAACATTTCAATAAAATTACCATGTTTTAAAGCATGATAACATAATAGTTATTTCTGTATCAAGGGAATTATAAGGGTGTTATTTACCGGGGGCCAATAATAATAATTGCCCGAGGTTGTTAACACTTTATAATTCCCGTGGGACATAGGTAATTTTATTTCTTACTGAATTTAGTATTATTTTGTCGTATTTTAAAACGACACAAATGTTGCATTTCTTAATTTTCCGGTACATTTCTAGTAACACTGCTGGTATAGCAAGCCTTTTTTACTAGTGTATTAAATAATCTGCTTATAAATTGACGGTTGTTGTCTCGAGCTCAGTTTTTTGTCAAAGAAGCGCTTTTAGCACGAATTCCGCACACGTTCTAGTACGTTTCCATTAAAATGGAGGGAATATTAAAAAAGCTGAAGAAGCACAATATAAGCGTTACTTCCACCTAAAAACGAGTCCATTTACCAAAAGGATTATAAAAAATTCCTTTAATGGTTTGGACAGGAAAATATTGTGGCACGTTAAAATGTTTTCTTGTATATTTATTTCATCTGACATTAATGATGTAAATAAATTATTAGAGCAGTTAGATGAGTATCCATTTTCATTTTATATTGTTTACTCAAAATCTCTATTGTATTTCATGGTCGTTACTTATAAAAGGTAGAGGGAATTATGACATCTTAATTCTCGTTAATGATATTCCAAGAGAGTTATGACTATCTATTATATGCGATATAAGTTTATATTAATTCAGTAAGAAGTAAATGTGTTTTATCATTAAAATATATAGATTTTTTTGTATTTGGTATTTAATATATTTTTTTTTGTTTCAGCCTGAAAAACTAAATGTCCACAAAAATGACTCGGAAAGTTGGGACTATACGGTTTCATTATGTAAGTATTTTTGTATATACTAAAGGCCTCAAAGACGGCTGGGGAATGACAATCGATGATAATTTTGACGTCATTTAATTAAAATTTACATAAAAATTGTCAAAAATTAATACTAATTATGGAGAGACACAAATCTGTTTCCAAAATTTTTTTTTTATTTTATACTACACCATTTAAAAATTATTTTTACTCTAAGCTCTAAGCGCCACAAAAAATAAAGAAGAGTACAAATAAATAACGTTTAGGGCTTGACCTCGTCAAAATTATAATCGATTGCCATTCTCCAGACGTAGGTTTTTTCCGATTGTCTGGCATTTTGTCCTTATGTGCATATTAACATTTTTATGTCAATTTAAAATTGTTGTGTCTTCTGAACCAACAATAGAGTTTTAAGCTAGGGATAAAGATTTTTAACTATCAGCACTGCGAGGGTAACCACAAGGGTAACTCAAAAATTGTGTTAGCGTTTGATTCTTGTTTAATTTCGAAATAATTTTTTAGTTTAGAGTTTTTGGACTGGTTTATTTTATTTTAAGTTGGGAAACTATATGGAAATTTGGTCGCGAATTTACCAATATTAAATACCCCATATATATTATACAGGGTGAGTTTCCTACGATGTTCTCTATGGGTATCTCGGAAACTACTGGAGATAGAGTGTCGGTTAAATGGGGAAAGAATTGCAGTTTTGTGGGGTCATAAATATGCGCCTTTCAGATTTTTGAAAAAGTTCATGGCTTACTAGATATTCCGCAAAAAACAAATTTCGGCTATTTTAAAAATTGTCCCTAATTCCATTGTAAGCTATTTTAGACAAAAAGTTTTCAGATAAAAGTTGTAGATAATTACACCCTTAATGAGATTGTGTCCTCCGTTTTTTTCTACAGCCTGTCATTTTTGACATATGACACAAACATATGTTTTTTTTTAAATAGAAACTATAGATGGCCATGATTTCATAAAAAGCGCCATTTTTTAAGCTTTTTAGTGATATAGGCTATAATATCTTTTCTTCGAAAAATTACTGAGTTATAGCCAATTCTTATCATTTTTAAACAATTTCACTTAGTTAGCCATGGAAACAAGTTCAATCGCCGTTGCTCTCAGAAATGTGAAGCAGCCACATCCAAACTTTATAAATTAAAATAAACAAAAATTGTAAATATGAATTTTTCAAATGAAGAAAAACGTGTAGATACTCGCGCATCAATAGAGTGGTTCCAACATGACTTTCATTATGACACACCACCCCCCACCCCCCATAATGAAAGAAATGTTAACAATTATTTATATCATAATTATACAAACGCAGGGATAGGAAGAGGTGGACTAATTGCATGGGCCTCCTCTATCACCTGATCATTTTAAAAAAATTTATGCGGTACTATAGTTTACAATAAGGTTTACAAAAGAACTTATGAATTAAGAGAGGCACTCGAAGTGGTGGCACGAGAAAAGTTTAATTAAGTCGACCGGTCCTTCTGTGAGAATAGATAGTACAACTTAACAAGTATAGCTAGAGACGTGAGAAATATAAAATATCACGCGACCGGTGCTATCCCCAAGTCTCTTCCTATATTTGTACAACTGTAATTCAGTTTTAAAAAGATGCAACTCAAAACAATGGCGGATTTTTTGAACATTTTCTAAAATAACTTAAAATGTATGTAGTGATATTATTTTTTTAAGTTTTAGTTTGTGTAATGTAAATTGTAAAGAACCGTTTAGTAATATATTCTGAGTTTTTATAAGTTATAAATCATAACAGAATAAGAATACCATGCAATCTAAGTGAAATTAGCCAAGAAAGATAAGAATTAGCTATAACTAAATTTAACTTTTCCTAACATGTCTTAAAAACCGTTCTCTAAAAAACGTAACAGTCACCGGTCAACGTATCCTCGAAAATGTATGGTCAAGAAAAGTTGAACCAATAATCCTACACGCTGGTCTTCATTTGAAAAATTCATATTTACAATTTTTGTTTATTTTAATTTACAAAGTTGAATCTGACAGCTTCACATTTATGAGAGCAAAGACGATTAAACTTGTTTCCATGGCTTACTCAGTGAAATTGTTTAAAAATGATAAGAATTGGCTATAACTCAGTAATTTTTCGAAGAAAACACGTTATAGCTTATATCGCTGAAAAGCTCAAAAAATGGCGCTTTTTATGAAGTCACGGCCAGCTATGGTTTCTATTTAAAAAAAACATATGTTTGTGTCATATGTCAAAAATGACAGACTTTAGAAAAAAACCGAGGACACAGTCTCATTAAGGATGTGATTATCTACAACTTTTATCTGAAAACTTTTTGTCTAAAATAGCTTATTAGGCACAATTTTTAAAATAGCCGAAATTTGTTTTTTTTCGAAATATCTAGTAAGCCATGAACTTTTTCAAAAATCTGAAAGGCGCATATTTATGACCCCACAAAACTGCAATTCCTTCCCCCTTTAACCGACTCTCTATCTCCGGTAGTTTCCGAGATACCCATAGAGAACATCGTAGAAAACTCACCCTGTATATAACTCTCTGCAGTACTATTATAACAACTATGAAATTTTTAAATTTAGAATTTATATCCTTTAAGCTCCATTCGGAACCTCGAAATTAGTGGAATAAATTAGCGGTTTCAATTATCGTTGAAGTTTGTTCCTCTAATTTTAATCTAAGCATTCAAAACGTCAAAATTAGTGGTAGTAATTTTCAATTAGAAAAAGTTAACAAACTTTTAACTTTTGCTATTAATTTTACTTTCACTCAGTAGTTTAATACAGGTATGAACGGAAAGTTATTATTCTTCAATTTTAGAACATAAATTGCTATGAACTTTTTTTTACTTGTTTTTATCTGAAGAATATGCTGCTGAAGTTTCCCGAATACAATTCGGACCACCCTGTATATGGATATGGATACAACTGACTACCGCAAGATGTTGCTAGGATATTCTATTAGTTTTAATTGTATTTTTTACACATCGGAATGATCGTAAACTCTAAAGTATAATTGAAACTACTAATTTATTCCACTAATTTCGAGGTTCTGAATGAAGCTTTGGGTCTGTCAATAATGTAATTTTGTTTTCGTGTAAATGCTTTCACATAAGAGCTTTTTTCTTCATATCGATTATTCTGTTTGGTCTTGTGTAATATAGGAAACCATATAATTTTGTTTGCTTTCAGTGTTTTTCCAGACCACCCTTTTATAGTAATATGAAATATTGAAATCGGCTCTTCGGTTTGTTTACCACACACGGTTTTAAGTAATTGAAGGAAAAAAATGTCTTCAACTGAATAAATTTAGGTTACTACTTATTTTCCTATTCCTTTTTAATATTTAAAGTAAATAAGGTTAACGATTTAAGATAACGATCCACTAGTTTTTTAAGTTAAAAATAAGAAATTAAATCAATGACTAGATTTAATTTGGAATTATTCAATATTAAAATAATTGTAAATTGATTTTTTGGGACTTATATATCGTAAGTATACTTAATATTTCATTAGGAAACATATTTAGAAAGAATTTTTAAGTAAGTGTTATAAATAATTCACATAAATAACGAACTAAGGCGGGTTAAGTACGCTACCCTAACGAAGAGGTAATTTACTATCTACTAATTATACTAGATATATTATACCTTACTTTGGATTTAACGATATCTATAACTTAGGTAGTTATTTATTTATTGTAGTATAGTGACTATCTGTCCAAATGACCCCAATTTCTAGATGATAATAGAGTAGATATACAATATACAGAGTTTTTCACAAAAAAGTTTGAGGTTTTTTAAGTTTTAATTAGGATACATATCTGAAGGTTAGGAATATTTTAAGGTGTTTTAAATATTTTATATGTTTTAAGCGTGAATCTAGGTTAGGAATCTTGTATATTATCTATGGCTATATGTATTGTATTGTAAAAGGTACTAAGGGCTGTAGTTTTTACAGATCACAAATAATAAGTGTTCTTCTGTCCGAAAATATTGAAATTTGGACTATAGCTTCATTCAAAACGTCGCAATTAGTGGAATAAATTAGTGGTTTCAATTACACTTTATACTTTTTAGTTTACGATCAGTCACAATGTCTAAAAAACACAATTAAAACTATTAAAATATCTTAGCAATATTCGCCCTAGAAGCTTGCGGTAATCATTTGTATCCATAGAGAAAGCCTAATATTTTGCATATACAACAATCAACTTTTGATTTCTCACCACAATTTCTCTTGACGGAAGATAATCAAAAGCCAAAATGACATTTCTCGCAAATTTTGAAGTATAATCAGTGGAAAAGTTGAAAGTTTGAAAACTTTTTCTACGAATTGAAAATGTTTACCACTAATTTTGACGTTCTGTATGTATGCTTACATTCAAATTAAAGGAACTAACTTATACGCTAATTCAAACCACTAATTTGGAGGTTCTGAATGAAGCTTATAAGTTACTAAGTGAATACAAAATTTAATATGTTCCTGTACATCACTAATGAAAATGTACCTTGTATTGTATATGCACCTTGTATATCATTAATGAAAACGTTTTATTAGCTAATTTTGATAAATCTTGTTTTTATATTAAAAACTACACCATTTTTAAGTTGTTTAACACTCCTATTTTGGTTTAAAGTCTATTAATTTCATGATTTTAGTTAGTATACTACCGTATGATCGAAAATAAACGGTGTCAGCGATGATCAAATTTGTATAACTGTAAACATAACTTCTGACAAGCAGTGTCCGTTTCGGTTTAACGCAGAAGTGTTTACAAAAAATAACTATTATTTTGTAGATTTTCTTCCAGTGCAGTGGCGAAATACAAAAAAAAGGATTTTTTTGGAGAGATGAATCCGCCACATAGGTATATACATTTTTTATATGGAAAATGTCATCGATCGTCATTTCCCAGCCAACTGGACGCCGTTTTTTTCGATCATACGGTATAACTATTGACGTAAGACGATATACATATCTGTTAATGTCTAATTGTGATATAC